TGGCTTTTTCTGCTTATGTGGTGCTGAGGAATTGAACCCAGGGCCTCATGCATGCAAGGCAAGTGCTCTACCACTGAGCCACCTTCCCAGCCCCCATTTGTTTATAATCTAATCTACCTTCATAAGCCCTCCCGCCCTCCAGTGGGTGACAGTAGCACCAGTGGGTGTAAGGGGGAGGGGATTCTAGGTGTTGGCTGGTGAAACGGTGCACCGTGGAACGGGTCTACAGAGTTGGGGTTTCGCGTGTGATTTCCTGCCATGCTTGTTGGGATAAAAGCTGAGGTAAAGCTCCTGAGTCAGGTCACGATCGTTTATAATCTGCCATAGTCACGGATTGCCCTGCGGTGCCAGCTGGGGCCTCCCTGCCTGGCAGAGCCGTCCCTGCTGTGCCCAGAGACTGGCGGAGACCTCACCAGGCTGCATGGGCCTCGGTGGGCACACTGGCCTTGGGAGTAGCAGAACGGAAAGTCAGGCTCTTGGGAAGAAAGAAACAACGGCACTGACCTTGGGTGGAAGGCTGGGAGCTTTCAAGGTCACAACGATGGAGAACTCCTCAGGGAAGCGCTGGCACCTGTAGAAAATCCTGGAGGCGGGGAAGCTGAGGGCGCGGGGGTCGGCGGCCGCCAGCCGGAGGCCTTGCGCGCCGGGGGTCTGCACCAGCCGCACTCCAACCACAGCGCTCACTGCGGGGACGGCCTCCGCCAGGATGTCCAGGGGGCCCAGGTCTGCGGCAGAGACGGCAGTTAGAACCCGCGCGCGTGTGCCAGGCCCGGGGGGGGGAGGCACACACGCGGAGCCGGGGCGGGTGCCTGCTGAGGAGGGTTCTGCCTAGCACAGAGACCGCCACAGCCCCACGGCAGACTCCCCGAGCACGGGAGCCCAGCTCTGCGCTCCCCTCAGACTGCCCCCACCGCCACGGCCCCACAGCCATGGCCGTACGGCCACGGCCCCACTACCACGGCCCCACGGCAGACTCCCCGAGCACGGGGCCCAGCTCTGCGCTCCGTCCCCTCAGACCGTCCCCACCGCGGCAGTGAGCCCCGCCACCGGAGTGTCTGTGATTCTCCCTCACCCTGCTGAACTGCACGGGCTCCAATCGCACCCCTGTCCCGCTGCAGTCCCCGGCTGGCGCTGAGGACTCACTAATCTGTCTGTCTGTCTGTCTGCCTGCCTGCCTGCCTGTGTCTGTCTGCCTGCCTGTCTGTCGTTACTGACTCCAGAACCTTGTATCCTTGTAATAGCCCCGAAAGCTGTGCATCTCCTCCTCCCGCAGACCCCGCGTGCCCCTGAGGAGCGGCCATCTCTGAACCTCAGGCCCATTTCCCTGTCCCGCATCTCTCGTGGCAGCAATTCCCCGTGGTGAGAGCCACTGAGCGACGTGTGGATGGGGCGGCGGGGAGAGCGGTGCCGTGGGGATGGGGCGGTTCTGTCCACGCTGACCCTTCCCTCCACGCTGCTGCTGGATGGGGCGCTGGGCAGGCCCGGCTGGCTCCCTCCACACCCCAGGGGGTTTTGTGGTTCCAGGCCATTAGAAACAAAGGTGCGCCAACGCTTAATCTCCCCAAGAGACCGACAACAACAAAAAGACGAACACTCAGAGAAAAACAGGAGGTGGAAAATAACAAAAAAGAAAGGGAGGAAAAGAAGAATTTCAGAACAGAGAAGAGCGAAGACCCCTCCCCCAACCTTTACTGGCCGTGCGGCAGTGTGTACAGCCGCTGGCCAGCCGGCCCGGCGGGGGCTGCCGGAGCCCAGAGACACAGGGGGCCGCCTGCAGATTACCCGCGCAGAAGCCACCTGAGGTACCGGTTTGCAAACCAGCAGATCGCCATAGAGAAACCTACCAGCCGAGAATCTCCACGAGGATCCCACCCCCACCCCTCACTCTCCACCCAAGCAGAGAGACTCCAGGCCGCCTAAGCCGCCCGGCACCGGCAGCGCGATAAAGGGAGCTGTCTGCAGACCACCCCGCAGAAGCCGCCTGAGGCACCAGACCTGCCCGATCTCAATCACGACGACCCCCAGGGGCCACCTGGGTTCCAGAGGCACAGGGGGCGGCCTGCAGATCACCCATGCAGAGGCCACCTGAGGTACTAGACCCACCCAATCGCGATTGCAATGACCCAGCAGGGGCCAACTGGGTCCCAGAAGCACAGGGGGCGGCCTGCAGATCACCCAAGCAGAAGCAGCCTGAGGCACCGGCGTCAGACCCCCCAACTCTACAACCCTTTGTCCCAGAGACACGGGGGCTGCCTGCAGATCACCCGCGCAGAAGCCGCCTGAGCGTGGACACTGTGGACCCGACAGCTTCGATAGAGGCAGAGACAGAAAAGAATCACACAGAGCCACCAACCGCCCAGCCAAGCCCAGCCCGCAACCACCCCAAATGAACTCGGATTACAACAGCAACTGATGACCTACAACACAGAAACAACTAGCTCCAGGGTGAGTACCCCACAGGGGACAGTGTATCCCTCAAGGGAGACCAGAGCTGGAGGGAATCCCCAGACCCTGACCCAGATTGCCTACCCCAACACCCGGACCACAGGACCCACTAAAACTGGGAACTGTTCGAGAGCTCCACCAGCCCATGGAGCACACTCTGCTGGCCAGGCTAGAGCAAGAGCGCCCCTGGAAGGGAGCTTAAATGCCCAAGCCAGGAACAGCACCTTGAGTCAAGACTACCAACAGTAGAAGAAATTTGAACTGTGTACCCCAGGCTGCATAACCTAGGTGGTATACACATCAGCACAGGCCTAACGAGCACACTCCAGGCGGGGGCCGGAACCAGAACTGGGGATCCGGCGCCTGAACAAAACCAACTCCTCCCAACTGAAGTCAAAAGCTGAGCATACGCCTCAGCAGAGGGGAGAAAAAGAGAACAGCACTCCCCAGGAGGCATGCCTGTGACAACAAAAGACCTGGAGGCCCAGGACAAGAGAAGCCCAAACCCCACCAAAACTCCACCCATATACCCTAGGCTGGGAATTGGGCAACACAGGCTGCCAGCACCTGATAGTAAGCAGGAGCTCAGGCTGATAAGGTGGCTCAGCAGTAGAGTGATAGTCTTGGATGTATGAGGCCCTGGATCTGATTCCTCAGCATCACAAAAGCAAAAAGGGTCAGAAGTGGCACTGTGGCTCAAATGGTACGGTGCCAGCCTTGAGCTGAAGAGCTGAGGGACAGCACCCAAACCTAGAGTTCAAGCCCACAACCAGCCCAAATCAAACAAACAAACAAAAACACATCAGGAGCCCATAGCATTCTCCAGCATCTGGGAGAGTGCATCTAGAGCATCCCATCTGGCCAAGAGCACCCGTAGGAGCAAACACAAACAGTCTAGGCTACTCAACCCTTCCAAAGGCGGGAATTGCCAGCGATCTACAGCAGAGAGCTGAGAATCCTAAGTAAGTCAGAATAGCAGCTGGAAATAGGCTCCCAACAGAACCCAGATCAGGCACAGACTCTCTCTACCAATACAGAATCAGCAACCAAGCAAAGACAGACACACCAAAACAAAATTGAAGAGCAGTCTCCTGAACCCGCATGTGAAAATCACAGAGAAAAATTACAAGGTTTACCACCACCCAGGACAGCAAGCTCACCTCAAAAGACAGCAGCCATGCAGGGGAGAGCCCCAGTGGGAGCAAACCAGGAATGGAAGACAAAAGCTACATCCAAGGGTTGCTGGAGGCAATGACTCAAGAAATAAAGTGAGAAATTGATCAGAAATTGAAAGAGTACAAGGATGAACTATCAAAAGAGATACAGGATATCAAACAAGAGATGCATGCAAAAATAGAAGCTGCACAAACCTCAGTAAGAAGTGAGATAAACGCCAAATTAGAGGTAATGCATACTTAGCAGTACTATGAGAACCAGCATTGAATCAATAAAAGGATCCATTTCCTCCATGCAAACCACAATAGAAGGCATGGTCAACAGAGTGAATGAAATGGAAGGTAGAGTGTCAGATACAGAAGACAGAATACACCAACTGGACCAAAAAGTGACAGATATGGAAAAATCACTCAAATTAAACCAAAGGGAAATTCAAGACCAAGCAAATTATGCCAAGAAATTTAACCTTCATATAATTGGAGTGGAAGAAGGTGAGGAATTCCAGAGCAAGGGAATGCAACACCTATTCAAGAAGATAATCAGTGAAAATTTTCCCCACCTCAAAAAGGAGCACCTTACATACATAACAGAAGCATACAGAACACCCAACAAGCAAGATCCCAGGAGAAACACTTCTAGACACATTATAGTAAAAATGATAGATCTGAATAATAAGGAAACAATCCTGCATGCAGCAAAAATGAAGAAGGAGCTATACTACAACAGGAAAAAAATTGGAATCACTGCAGATCTCTCCACACAAACAATGAATACAAGAAAGGCCTGGGAAAGCACCATAGGAGCCCTGAAAACCAATAACTGCCAACCCAGACTGATATACCCGGCAAAGCTAGCATTCACATTCGATGGAGAACTGAAAACTTTTAATAGCAAAGAAAAACTAAATGAATACATAAACATTAAGCCAGCATTACAAAGAATTCTAAGAGG